TTAAGGGGCTTATAAGTGGGTGTTGACCACACTTATAATTGGGTTTTAAGTACCCAGGACCTCCAAGTACACTTCAGGACCTGTCCATGGAGCGCAGCATCATCTCCTTCAACGCTGCCCTCAGCGCCTGCGAGAAAGCCACGCAGCCGCTCGGTTTAGGTTTAGGGTTTAGTGTTTTGGTGTTTATAGAATTTGTAGAGGTCTTGTGTCCCGGGGGGTTGTCGTGTTTTGTGGTCTTTGGTAGCAGGGGGGCGGGGGGAGGGGCAGGGGCGTAGCAATGGTAGGAAAGCGGTTGCAGGGCGCAGGGGTGTGGGGATGGCTAGAATGCAGGCAGGTTGGGGTAGGGTCTAGTTTACGGGTATAGGGCTTGGGAACCTTTAAGCCCTAAACCCTGCAAACCCTAAACCTACTGCCAAGCCCAAACTGTAATAGTCCAAAGCCTCCACCTCAGAAGCCCTCAGCACGAACCCGCAACACACGCCTCCATGAGCAGATCCTGCAATCACCCCCACGCGTATATCCTACACAGGAAGGCCATGTGACTGTTTAGGGTTTAGGGATTAGGGTTTAGGGTTCGGGGTTAAGGGCTTAGGGCTTAGGGTTTAGGGATTAGGGTTTAGGGCTTCGGGTTCTAAACCCTGAACCCCTCAATCCCCAAACAGGCCAAACGCGGTCTGCTTGGGAGTCAGGCTTTTGTATGTTGTGTATGCATATCTCACTCTTGATTTTCGCAGCCAAAGAAGGAACCCTAAACCCTAAACCCTGAACCCTAAACCCTAAACCCTAAACCCTAAACCCTAAACCCTAAACCTTCTCGCAAGGTGGGAGGCCGCCTTGGCGCTCTTCGCGGCGCTCGGGGAGAGCAGCCTTGAGGTCCTTAGGGTTTAGGGTTTAGGGTTTAGGGTTTAGGGTTTAGGGTTTAGGGTTTAGGGTTTAGGGTTTAGGGTTTAGGGTCCCTCAACCTCCCAGGATGGATTCATAGGGCTGAGGGGCAAAAGGGGTTTAGAGGGTTTATGGGGTTTTAGGATTTTCCTTGAGATCCTTCAACCTCCCAGGGTTTCGGCTAAGGGTTTCTAGCGTTTTCTTAGGGTTTATTATAGGGTTTCTGGGATTTAGAGGGTTTATTCGGGTTTATTAGGGTTTATGGGGTTTATTAGGGTTTATAGGGTTTGCAGGGTTTATAGGGTTTGCAGCTGAGGAGGATGGTGGGGGATGGTGGGAGGCAGGTCTCCACTGACAGTTTGTAAGGTCCTCAGAAAGGGTTTATAGGTTGAGAGGGGAGATTTGGGATTTCAAGAGTTTCGAAGGATTAATAGGGCCCAAGAGTTTTGCGGTTCAGGGTCTGAGTAGGGCTACGGGATTTGAGCCCCAACCACCAGCCCCAAGATTCACGCAAGACACCCGAGCCCCATCCCTAAGCCCTGCAAACTCAACATTGCCGAGTCCTGAGGCCTGTAAATCCTGAACCCTCAAAGCCCCAAATTATTATCATCCCTGCGCCCACGACTGCCCTAAACCCTAAACCCTCATTCAACAGTTTCTAGGGGCCTCTCGGGCTGTTTCTAGGCTTCTGCTCAGGGTTTTGACCTTTGGGCCTATCCGCGGTTCGGGAATTTGGGGTTTTGTAGGGGTTTAGAGTCGTGTGAAGTCTGCGGTTTAATATGGGTGGCAATACGGTTCAGTATAGCGCGCCATTAAGAACTCAGAAGCAAATGAAAGGCTGGACAGACTCGCCACCATTTCGGCTCTTGCATCCTCTTGAGTGTCGATGTGCCCAGCCTTAGATGTATCAGCCCTAAACCCTACACCCTAATCCCTAAACCATAAGCCCTAAACCCTAAACCCCAGCCTTGGGTCGTGGCACACGCACGATGCACGACCGGGCGGCCCATGGCATCAGGCAGACAACTGCTGTGTTTCTGGGCCAGTTGAGGCTGGGCAGCAGATTGGGGCTTTCGGGCTTTGCTGGTTTCGTTTAGCCCTGAACGCCTCTACCCTAAGCATCTATAGGGAGGCTGTTCGATAGATTACCCCAGTAGGGTTTAGACGATGCTGTTTGCTTGATTAGGATGACCTTTAGCTCTACAGCCAGACTTCTTGTACTGCCAGACTTCTTGCAATGCGGTTAGCGTCTCCTTCCATACTCAGGCTTGACCTCCCCGACTTGGGGTTTAGGGCATAGTCTGTAGGTTAAGCCTATGAACCACGAGACCCTTAGCCGTGAGCGTCTTTAGGGGAAGTCTAACCCTCAAGCTCCAAATAGCTCCAAAGAGCCCAAAGTAGGAATCATCTATAGGCTTTAGACCACCAAAGTAGGCAGTTGATGCATACTTGGAGCTCCAGGGTAGCGCTTGTCCAAGTTGCCGCACTAATCAAAACGTGGTCTTGGGGTACTCACTTCCAGAACAGTATACATCACGAGCCTGAGGCCCTTTTGCGGGCCTACTGTTCCGCTATTCTAAGCAGCTTAGGAAGCGCTTGGGGAAGGCGCCGAGCAGCTTGGCGCGCAAACAGTGTAGCGCTCAACTTGTTCTTCTATGGGGTGGGTGCCCCAAATTAGGATCTCCATGTGATTAAGACCTCCCTTATCCGTAGATCTAAAGTTCTAATTCAAAAAAAGCGAGCCCTCTCTTCATGCCCAAAGGCCTAAGTACATCCGACTACCCTTACACTTTAGGGTTTAGGGTTTGGGGTTTAGTGTTTAGGGTTTAGGGTTTAGGGTTTAGGGTTTAGGGACTGCCCAAAGGTGAGGCTGAAGTGAAGCGACTCATGTCCCAGAGCCTTCGCGACTGGGAAGCCCCGAAAGCAGTGGGACAAGTGATGCAGGACGTCCAGCCTGAGGGGCTTTCTAGCAGTTCTGGATTATCGGTGTTTTTATTTGTGTGTGTGCTTTTTTTGGGGGAGGCTTACAGCGTTTAGGTTTGTATGACTTGTAGGGCTGATCGGGCTTATAGCTGTTGATGTTGCAGGGCGGTGCCAGAGTTTACAGAACTTAGGCTTTCGGGTTTCGGCTTCTCATGACGGGTTTGCGGTAGGACTTGAAGCGAATGCGGCGCGCAGATCTGGTGTGCCAGCTCTTGGAAGTCTGGGCTACTGGCTCGTCGAGTTACGTCATTTTATTCTTTCAGGATGTAGGGTTCAGGGTTCAGGGTTTAGGGTTTAGGGTTTAGGGTTTGGTTTAGGGTTAGGGTTAGGGCTTTGGGGTGGTTAACTGTGCTTGACTGAGCGCTTGCTTGCCTACCTTTGCAAGGATTTTGCGAAACCCATGACATCTCCGGCTTCGTACCCGTTGTACCCAGACTCTGGTAAGATCTGGAAAGCAGAGCTGAAATTCAGGGTCCTTTAAAAATGCCCACAAGCAGCACGCACTACTCAATGGGTACCACAGTGTGGGAAGGGATTCTAGATCCTGTAAGGAGTGGGAAGGAGGGCGAAGAAAGCCACAGTTGTTGCACTATGCCACCGCGATCAGTGCCTGTGCGGGAGCGAAGTGGTGGCAAAAGGCGGTGATGCCCCTTGGGCACTGATTGAAACCCAACAGGTCTTGTGGTCCATGCACCCTGAACATGGCCCATCCTATAAAAACTCTTACACCACATAAGACAGCGTGATGATCCAGGGGAACTTTGAGGGGCTTGCAAGGCTTTTCAACTCCCTACCAGACGTGAGCATTGCGCCCAGCGTCATCAGCTACAATGCCACCATCAGCTCCTGCGAGAAGGGACGAGAGTGGGAGCTGGCCCTGCAGCTCTTTCACGAGATGACGGAGGTCCAACTGCAGGCAGACGTTATCAGCTACAGTACAACCATCAGCTCCTGTGAGAAGGGGCGCCAGTGGCAACTGGCACTGCAAATCTTCAACTCCATGCACACCGCCAAGCTGACACCGGATGATGTCCTGTACAATGCTGCCATCAGCTCCTGTGAGAAAGGCGGCCGCTGGCAACTGGCGCTAGCAATCCTCCACTCCATGACACAGGCTGGCCTTAAACCGGATGTCATCAGCTACAATGCAGCCATCAGTGCTTGCAAGAGGGCTGCACGCTGGCAGCTGGCCCTGCTGCTCTTCCACAGTATTCCTGAAGCTCAGCTGACTCCGACCATTGTAATTTGGCTATGCTTCGGATCTTTGTGAATTTGCAATTTCGTTTCTTCTCGTAACAATGGGGGCACCATTCCACAAAGTTCTCAAAGGGCGGCCCTTTCATGGGGATGTGCCATGAAGCGCCTCCGAACTCTTACTATATGAAGAATCTATAAAATCCCTTGAAGGGTTGTACGTAATTTAATATATATATATACATATATAGAGAGAGAGATTTGTATAGATTTGTTCATTTTAGTTTTATTTTTCTTATTCATGTATGTATTCTTATTTGCACACGTAGGGCTTTAAACTCAGGTAAGCTACAGCACTGCGATGAGCTCCTGCGAGCCCCAGGGCCTCTGGCAAGTGGCCTTGGGCCTCTTCCACACCATGCCTGCGCCTGGTCAGCGGTCAGCTTAGCACATATATATAATAATAGATATATATATATATATAATATAATATATATATATAGATATTTATATATGTATATGATAGTATATAGTATATATAACATGAGTATGATATATAATAATAATAATATGCATCAGTTTGGGGCATATGTAAATACAGAAAATAGACATATATATATATATATTAATATATACATATATATATATACACTCTGCACACATGCTCGAACCCCCCCCCCCCCCCCGCCCCTGATTTTAAGGTGTTTTTGGTTTTGGGGTTTCCCAGGCAAGTAATGCTTTCACAAGCAAATGGTGATGAAATAGTGCTTCTTCTAGACTAATGTGTATCGTTGCATACTAACTACATAGTCATTACGTAGGAAGTTGACCCATAGAAGACTAGGTAAATGGCCCGATGTGAACTGACTTGGAAACCTGCGCGAAATACTGATTCAATACTAGCCAAACAAAGAAACACAGCTGAACCTGTTTCGATACCCATGATTGACACGAGTACGAAAGATGGTTTTCGAAAAAAAGTTTCCCACTTGCAAGAAGCTTGTGTTGTTGTAGAACCGCTTGATTTGAGTAAATCCACAAATGAAAAAGACCCAGAAACAATTGGATTTTGCGATTTCCCAGTATGTCTGGCAAGCTGTTCCCGAAAAGATGGTTCTCGTGAAGCTTTTTCCCCAGTAAGAAGTTGTCTTTTCCGGGAAAGACCAACGTTTCCCTTGTAAAAAGTCGGTGGCAGCGAAAAACTACTTTCCCTAGTGGTGAACAAACCAAACCCCTAGCAAAAAGAGGGCTTGGGTCAGAGAAATGTTTCCAGGGAGAACCCAACAACTAACCAATTTTAGATCCCCCTCATTGCTCCGAATAAGTTGTTTTTTGTTTGTATGTTTGTGTTGCTGGTGTCGGTGTCGTCAGGTCCAAGCATGAAACGTGTGTTCGAATTCAAGGCACTATATCTCCTGTCCACAGTTGTTCAGAATGGGAAAAATCGGTACGCGGAACAGGTGGGCTTTAAGCAGTATTTACGACAGGCAAAAGAATAATTGGTCCTGGGGCGGGGGGTATAAACTAGAACCTAGAACCCAAAATGTTAGACTTCATACAGTGCATGTTTTGTGTGTTCTTTCCTGGTATTGTGCATAATGTACCATACAATACAGTATGTAGAATACATGTACTTATATAAATATAAACATATTGTATAGAGGGCATATATAAGATGAAACAAATACAATGCAGAGAGTATCTGTTGCTTTTTTCGAAAAGATCATTTATGAGAACGTATCATCTTGAACATGCGTTTGAGAGTGGGCTAGCAAAGCCTGAAGCAGCTGGGGGGCACAGGAAGTGAAGCTGACGCCTGACGTCATCAGCTACAGTTCCGCCATCAGCTCCTGCGAGAAGGGCTCGCAGTGGAACCTGGCTTTGAGCATTTTCAACTCCATGAAATCGAAGCTTTCGCCACTAGGTAGACCCTTAAAGGAAGTTATATTTTCGCGATGCCTGAACCCTAATAAGGTCCAAGCCCAAACCATGGTCCAGAGGAGGATTCTTGTTGGGGCCAAGTGAGGCCAGACAACATCGCCTACAACGCGGCCATCACCTCCTGCGAGAAGGGTGCTCAGTGGCAGGCGGCCCTCCACTTGCCCCTCAGCTTCCTAAACCTTCTGGTTCTTTGTAGGCGGGGAACTAGGTACCCTGCAGAATGCCTCAAAGGGTATATAGGGGGATGCAGGGTGCCTCATGCCCACTAAGAACCAGCTATGTAAGATTTAGACGTAGAATGCGAGGCAGGAGGTCGCAGCCGTTTGCGAGTGCCTCCAACTTCTGTAGTGGTACAAGATGCTCAAAAGGCAGTCAGTCTGCCATGGCCTGCCTGCACCTACACCCCAACTACCCCAAACCTCAAAACCCGTCGTAGGGATATTGGGACTTTAGGCGCTGTGGCCACTACCGTAGTACGTGGTCCCTTAACGTAGTCCCTTGTCCTTTTCACAGGGTTCTGGGGTATGGGAGAGTTGAGGAACCTGAGACCAACTGAGGTTCAGATCCATGCGACCCGCCAAGCTGGCGCCCAACCTCATTGGCCACCTGGCTTCAGGCTCAGGTCTTTGAGGTTTACTGGGATTCTTTTAAGCAAGGCTGTAGGCAGTTGAAATGTTCTTGATATCCATAGTTTCCCTGCTTGTGCCGCTTTCTCATAAGTGCCCATGAACCTCCAAGTAGGGTTTAGGGCCGCCGAAGGCTTGTCACAGGAAAGCATGTAGATGTACATACGTGTGTGTCTGGCGGCGACCCTCCAGGTTATAACGCCACCATCAGCTCCTGCGAAAAGGGCCTGCAGTGGGAGATGGCACTGCACCTGCTCGGCTCCATCGTGCGTTCCAGGCCGCGCAATGGATTTGGGACATTTGGGTCGAAGCATACATGATGCAGAGATCGGTGCGGCGGATTCAAATTGAGGGTATGCAGCGTAGCTTGCATCTGCTATTAAGTGAGAGCGCTTGTGATATCTTGCTAGTGTTCTGGTTCGTCTGTTTGCTGGGCGGTTGTCGCTGGAGAGCCGCGCCTTTCGGCAAGCCTTTGCAGATCCTTAACAAACTTGTTGCGCATTCAGAGCCCTCAAGAGCCCTCGGCCAACAGGATCTCCCCGGACGTCATTAGCTACAACGCAGCCATCAGCGCCTGCGAGAAGTGCTCACAGTGGCCAGTGGCTCTGGAGCTCTTCAACTGCCTTCCCTTAGTACCTCAGCCTGTCCTAGCACACTTTCGGTTTGGCCGCGGCTCTCTTCGGAGGTTTTTGGTTTTAGGGTTTAGGGTTTAGGGAGCAGGGGGGCGGGGTGACCTGAAACATTGGTCTGCTTGGGCGTCAGTAGCTTCGGGTACATGAGGGCCCTAGTCCCCCCAGACCTTTGGTCTGAGGTAGTCCGTCACCCTCCAACAAAAACGCAAGTGCAAAAGCCACAACTATTGGGGACTGTTTGCACCCTCTTGTAGAACAACTCTGTGACATGATAGGCCTAGACCCCTAATCGCAAGATCCGAAACCCTAGCCCCTATAAACCCAAAACCCCCCTAAGCACCCTAAACCCTTCTATACAGACATAGCACACACACACAAAACAAAACTCAAAACCTTGAAGCTCCCCAATAAACGGCCCTGAACCCAAAAGCCCTAAAGCCCAAAGGCCTGAAAACAAAAACAAAAGCTTGAGTTTTTCAAATTTTCCACAACCCCTAAAGCCTGAAGGCCCTAAAGCCCAAAACCTTCAAAAACCTTCCGCGAAGCCCAAAGACACTAACACCCTGACACCCCAGAAGCCCTCACAACCCCAAAGCCCTAAAACCCCTAAAGCAGCCTTCTCAGGCCAGGTTGGAGCCCAACGCCGTCAGCTACAACGCTGTTCTGGGCTCCTGGGGCTTTCGCTTTGTTTTTTTGAGGCTTTCGCTCCTCTTCGTGTTCTGACCCGAAGTTAAGGGTGTAGGGTTTAGGGCTTAAGACCCTAAACCCTCAACCCGAGGTTATAGGGTGCTGTCGCCTTTTTCAGAGTCAGACTTACGCGAACCCCCCCACCATGCATAGTCGAGTAGAGTCCCTGGAGGATCTTCGAACCCTCAATTCAACAGTCAAAGGGGCCCACTTCCCTGGCCCCTCTCAAATCTTAGGCTCAAGCCTGCAGTCGTCATCTGCAGCCGTGCAAGAATCCATCTTGGCCATGTGCCTCAGTTGACAGACAGTCGGGGCAGCCTAACGTAGGGTTGCTGGGTTTAGGCTCACCCAAAATAAGCCCTAAGCCCTAAGGGATGTATGAACCCCTTCCGACTCCTGCACAGGATCAAGATGCACGGCCTGCCTGCGGCAGACCCGCGATAGTGCTCAAGAGTCGAATCAAAAAAAGCGTTATTCCGCTCCTGGTCCGGGGGTTACCGCAAGCTCATCAGCTTCCTGTGATTGCTTTGGAGTTGCATGCCTCAACACACCTTTAGAGTTTAGTAGGGTTCAGGAGCTCCTCACCCTCAAGCATGTAGAGTTTCAGAGAGCTCTTGGGAAAGGCGACTCTGATCACATACAACGCCTTGATCTCGGCCATCGACGGCCGACACTGGCAACGAGGTGAGGTGTGGCACTTGCTTACGAAAACAAGGGGTTTAGGGTGTAAGTTTATCGGGTGTCACAGGAACGCACTAAACCCTGTGAACCCTCTGAACCCGATAAAGCCTAGGGCCCCCACAAACCTATAAAGCCTAGAAAGCCCATGAACCCTGTAAGCCCTGTAAACCCTATTCTGAACCCCAAACCCTAAACCCTTCACCCCGAACTTAAAGGCTTGGAGCTCTTCCAGCAGCTTCAGAAGGAGTCCCTGAGGCCAGCGAGGGTTTTCGGGTTCAAGTGGGCGGGGCCCCTAAGAAGGAGGCTTAGGGATTAGGGCTAGGGGTTTAGGGGTTGTTGGGAGTTTTTGTTGTTGTTTTTTTTGTTCAGCTTGGGGTTGCGGGTTTGGGATCTGGAGTTAGCAGGTTTCATGATGAGGGGTTTAGGGATTAGGGTATCACATGGAATGCCCAGGGACTGCTCCATGGAGCAGCGAACGGTTCCAATTTACACAGTGCCGAATATCCCTCAGCCCTAAACCCTAAACTTGCTTTCTTACAAGTTGGGCCTCAAGGACTGTTCGTAGAAGGGGGAACATCCCAACCTACAAGTCTGTAAGGATTTGTTTCTGACCCCGGTAGCTTCCCGACGTCGCCAAAATGAGCAAGTTGGGCCCAGAGAGCTTGAAGATGTTCAGATGGAAGTTACATCACGAAAGGGCACTCACAAGTAGCTTCCGAATTTTCGTCCATAGAAGTTTGAGACTTTTGGGGATGCTAAGTTTGACAAGATCGCCCAGGCCCAACGTCAGGTGCTACTCTGCAGCCATAAGCGCGTGTGAGCG